TTGGACATCATCAAATCTCAACTTATTGCTTCCCGATGAGCTACTCACAGCCGTGAGTGTAGCATTCCAGCTTTCTGGGAGGGAAGACAAAAGTATTAAAGCCCGTACTTCATCATCGAACTCGATCTCAACTGAACTCAACTGGGCTGTAACTGTGTTGAGTTCATTAAGATGATGTGCCACCAGAGCACCTTCGGTCATCCGGAGGTTGAACAATCGCCTCATCAAATGGACTTTATTTGAGGCTGATGGTTTCTCGTACATGTTGTAAAGAGCCTCATAAGGCCTGCTGTCGCCTTTTCTTTTGCAATGTTAAAAGCAACATTGCGGGACAACGTCAGTCGAATGGCTCCAAGGGCTTGTCTGTCAAGGGGACTCCATTCTTCCTCCTTCATGTCATCTGGCTTCTTTCCCGTGAGTGGTTGATACATATTCTTCTGGTACAGATAATCCTCGATCTACATCTTCCAAAAGCCAAAGTCCGCACCATCAAACTTTTCAATTTTCATTTTTCCTTCGTCTGCAGCCATCACTTCGACTCTGATCTGACTTCTCTACCGGATCGTTTCTGATAATTTTTGTGAAAGACTGTGTTTCAGAAGACGTCGGTAGATAAATTTGTAGCACCGACAAATTCACTATTCCCGTTTTTCACTATTCACGAAATAGTAACCCACACAAAAAATTATAGAATTAACAATCTGGCTCTGATACCAGTTGTTGGGAAAAATACGCTGAAATTTTGATGAAGTCGGATCTATAAAAGTGAAATAAAAAAATTGGACACACCAAATTGACAACGGAGTTCAGCCAATAATGCCTACGTCTCCAGACTACTGCAGATATTTTATTGGAAAAAAAAATACACTCGTGTTTACAAAACACTCGTAAACTCACTCACAACTCACAACTAAAAAATACACACAATAGCTAAAATTCTTTTTCTAGCTCACTCTCTTTTCTTTCTTCTCTGTATTTTTGGTTGTGATGTTCACCAGAATTTGTTCCTCTATTTATA